TAATGTTGACTATCAAGAATATATCTGTTGCAGGACAGAGTGTCAGGAATAGGAGGAGGATATGGAATGTGTGGCTAATTGCCTCCATGAACAACTGCCTTCTTTGCTATGAGACCAGAAGAACTGGATGGTGACTGGCTACCATTACCGAACATTTTGATCAAACATTCCACAGAAGAATCCTGACAAAAGGGGGAAAATGCAGAACAGAATTTCACATTCTAATGGACTCTAGATTTTCTGGAGCCATGGAGGATGGATGAACCCCTGAGACTATTGCCCTTAGATAATCTTTAAACCTTAAACCAAAAATATTTCCTGAAGTCATCTTGAAACTGAACAATAGTTTAGTTTAACTAGTAAAAAAGGTCTGCCTTGATCATTGGACTCTTTTAAGAACTATCTATATGGGATCAAAGTGACAACAGTAACTTGAAAGATTAGATAGGAACCTTAAGGGGTAATGAGTTTATATTAATGAGGGAGGAACAACTCAGAAAAGGAGGATGAGAATGGTAGCACAACTTGAAGAATGTAATCAATGTCACTAAATGGTACCTGTAGAAACTGTTGAATTGGTGTTTATTTTGCTGTGTATATTCTCAACAACAACAAAATAATTAAAATTTAGAAAAAAAGAATGTGTCTATTGTTTTAATAAAAAATTTTAACAATTTCTTTTTACAAAGGAAAGAAGAAAAAAAACAAAGGAAAGGAGGAAGACAAGAAAGGAGTACGGAAGGAAAAAAAGAAAGAAGGAAGAAAAACCCTAAAAAATGTTAACATTACTTTGTAGCATATAATAGAATATTTAAATTATAGGTCCATTATACCAAATGACAACATCTTGGCTAGTCCCTTCCCTCTGGGGAGATTAGTAGTATTCATAACTCACTGATCAAATCAGTACCAGTCCTGGAATGATCAAGTGGGAAGCACTGTGTTCTGTCATCACAGAGATGAGAGTTTCTCCTTTCAGTTTTGAACTCCAGATTCAACTTGGAAACAGAGGAATTAAAAAAAAAAAAAAAAAAAGAGCAACTGTAGGATGTGTCTAGAGGAGGAGAAGAGTTTTTAAATACAAATGCCATTTTAGAAAGACTCTTGAACTTATTAAATCACAAAAAGTGATTTCTAAACCTCATTTGGAGTCCCTGGGTGGTACCAATGGTTAAGCACTCAACTACTAACAGCAAGGTTGGTGATTCGAACCTACCCAGAGGTGCCTTGGAAGAAAGGCCTGGTGATGTGTTTCTGAAAGGTCACAGCCTTGAAAACCCTATGGAGCACCATTCTCCTCTGCAATACATGGGTAATCATGAGGCGGAATTGACTCAACAGCAACTGGTTTGGTCTCTGGAAGCTTCATTTAAGACACGGATTCCAACAGTCTGAGGCATGCACTTGGATCCAATGTTTATAAACTCCTGGCCATCTGAGCTCACTGTCATTTAATAGGGGAGCTAAAGAAACATTTTGATAACCCTTCTACTAACAACACTACAAACAGCCTTCAGAGAGCAGATTCCATACTATTTTGACAACAGGTGTCTTCAAACATCTCTATTCTATAATTAGGAAACAGGCTGTTTTTAGAAATCTTAGTTAACAGTTCCAATATAGAAGCTGGGGAGTGTACCTGGCAGTAAGAACATATCATAAACCCTCTCTGATGGCTAGACTAGCAGGTCCACCACACGTTAGAGCAATGAGGAGGGACCACCAAGACCTGCAGTGCCAGTCAGAAAGATGCTAAAAAGAAAATTAAGGGCTACAGCTCACTAATGAGAGATGGCAGGAGAGTAAAAGGCCTTACTTATTAAAACCCATGCTGAGTAATAAGAAGGCTTGGTGATGGCTGAATTCCCATTTTGTGTAAGAAACTAGAATATGCCAACTGCACCAGGAATGTACAAAGGTATTCTGACTGAGTAAAGGAGAAAGAGGTGTCAGATGTCTAACACAAGTTTATTGGTGTTGATTAGAAAAATGTATAATTAATTTCTATACACTGACAATATGTATAGGTCTAGGATCAATTCCATGAAACTTACTGTAAAATGACTCTATAGGTGTTTTCTACACTGATGCTAGATGTTAAAACCATATAAAATGAAACACTACAACCCTTCAAAGCAATCCACTTATGATAACTATTAAGATAATGGTAATTTGACTTAAAGCAATGAAGACACTTTGGAAGCCCTGTTGGCTACTGAAAAGACATGATACATGCATGGTGAGAAAGCTCAAGCAAGTGGAGATGCTTGGTGACTTTTGGTATAGCAATATCTTACTAGGACTAGGCTCTCGGGAGCTAGAATAACTAGTCCTGCTTTTATTAATCTCTTTGACTCTGGATGGTACCCCTAATTCTAACTAAGCAAAAGAGAAATCAGTAAAATGGTGAAGAGCTATGAAAGGCTTGCCACTACTAATGTCAAGAGCATGGCAAGACAAGGCAAGGCAATGCAGAAGTATGCATATGCCTAATCTAAGAGTGAGCCACAGAACTTTGCTCGGAAACTTGTGCTCTAATCCATTCCTACATTGCAAGGCCTTGAGAAAGTCACAAAAATTAATGGTGCATCAATGTTGCCAACTACTAAATTGGAAGAATGTTCTACCTTCTTGTTTGTTATACAAGTGTTTTACGTGACCTCCTTGACAAAAGTGCTTCTCAAAAGAAAATGAAATGCATGCTGAGCCTAGTACCGTGTCTAGTATATAGAAGATAATGAATCTACAAGTGTTGACTACATGAATGAAGAAAGTTCCACATGTAAGACAGAGATCTAATTGGTAGACCATCACTGAAGGATCTTTAAATGTTTCCAGAAACTGACCCAGAATGTTTGGTGCTATGGCTAAGGGAATCACAAACTCCAAGTGCCAGTGAGTCATCTGCTATGCCTAACCCCTAACAAGGACCATTCACTTCCGAGAATCAGCTGACAGACAGTACCAAATTATGGTCTTATAGTTATAGGAAAGATAGCTTTTTTTTTTTTTTTTTTTGCCAGTGAGGTAAGCCACTGCTGTAGGATGGTGGAAGGCACATACCTGGGAAAAGCGGACTCAAATACTAGGACCATAGACTCCTAAATGCTTTTCAGCTGCCACACAGATACCGCTTATGATTCAGCAGATTACTAGTCTAACCAAGAAATAATACACTGCAGTATTATGCTCCATCATAATGCACAGACCTGTTTTCAAAGGAACTTGGAAGATAACCATTAATAAGTCATATGACATTTTGATGAGTCTATTTATTTACCCTAAACTTACTGATCCCCACCACAAGTAGGCACATTGATAGTCATGTGGGATATAAAGATGAATATATCCTGTTCTTCATCCTCCAAGTCTAGGGAAGGGGAGGAGAAGGTCACCACACTGTTAAAACATAATATGGTTAAGTGTAGGGCACTCTTATAAGCTAAACACAGAGGAGGGAGTGGTTAAAAAACCATGAGGGAGTTGAATAGGCTTCAAAGAAGAGCTTACTTTTGAGTGAGGTCTTGCTTGGTAAGGAGGGGGAGGTAGGATATACTCTAGCTACAGGCAGGGTCTTGTTAAAAAAAAAAAAAAAGGAGGTATGGGAAAACCTTATGTGTTTGCATAATGGTGAGAGGACATTTGTAGCTAAGGCAAATGTGTGTGTAGGAACGGGGGGTGAGAAATGGGAGTGACAGGGCTGGAGAGATGGGTTTGAACCATATTATCAACAGCCTTACACATCATTGCAAGTCAGCTGGAATTTGTCTTGAAGGTTTTAGAAACAGAACTTTTATCAAGTGCCCTCCTATTAAAGCGGTAGGTGGACAAGAATGACTATTTAAATAGGAAGACCATTTAGGAGGCTATTGTAGTAGATTGGGCAAGGGTGGAAAGGACCCAAACCAAATCAGTGTCAGTGATGTTAAGGAAGCAGGTACAAGAAACGAGAAAGAGGAAAGCAAAAGGAAACTCTTCGTATTTTAGATAGGTGTTGGTCATAAAAGTTATTGCAGGAAGAAGATGACTAGAGGAAGAGCATGCTTTCAGTTGGGAACACTTTGTGTGTAACGTTCAGTTTCCTCATCTATAAGATGAGGATAAATAATGAGTAATAAAGTAGATCTTAGAGTTGTTGTGAGGATTATATGATATGATACACAAAAAAATGATACTACTCCTTGTGACTAGATTTGTGGAAGTATGAGCCTGGAGAGAATACGGGGCAGAAGAGAAACGTGGAAGTTATTAACACATAGGCAATAGCTGGAAGTGTCTGAGTGTATAAGCTCGATCATTCAGGAAGATTGCCTTTTGAAAACCAGGGCCAGAACCCTGGTATACACAGCTATGTAGAGGATGAGGCACTGAAACGGTGGCGAGCAAAGTCAACTTTGAAAGAAAGATCCAAATGTAGGAATCTGGAGAAAACGGCACTGTGGAAATAAAAAGAGCAGGGAATAGCCAAAGTGCCAATTCTGCCCAGAAGCTAGTAGGGCGGAAGTTGAAATGAGTGGGTCATGTGGGCCCTCAGCAAGAGTTGTTTCAATGAAGTGAAGGGGGTGAAGAACAGATCAGTTTGTTTAGGAATGTTATATTTTCATGACATATTTTGATACTAGATAACTCTTAAACTGGGGAAAAACTCATTATGGAGGTCTGGAACACTCAGATTTTACTCTCCCCCAGGAGCTACCAATAAAATTTTTTCTTTAATTTTTAGAACAGAAGGACTTTGGATCAGATTGAGAGACAATTACTGCTATCAGGATTCATTGCTGTATTTTTCTATGGAGAAAGGAACAATGGGTTTCTGGGAAAGAGTGAAGAGACAATGGGAACAAAATACAAAACAGCCCAAACAAAAATGCAAACTTTCTGTAATAAGGCAGAAAGTAGCACTAACCTAATGCTGTGGAGAGAACAGAGGTCAGTGACTTTCAGACTCTACACCAGCCTGCCAAAAACCATCAAAGACACACGTGAGCAACCACTCTTACCTTTCTTTTGATATCAGTGAACTGGGAAAACATTAAAGACCAATAGAATGACAGCTCCAGGATGTAGTAGTAGTGAAGGTCAGTTGTGAGCGGCTGAGGATGAAAGAAATGAAACAGCAATAGTTAACCTGTTGCCATCGAATCGATTCCGACTCACAGTGACCCTATAGGACAGAGTAAAACACCCCCGTAGGGTTTCCAAGGTTGTAATCTTTACAGAAGCAGACTGCCACATCTTTCTCCTGCGAGCAGCTGGTGGATTCGAACTGCTGACCTTTCAGTTAAGCAGCTGAGGGCTTAATGCCTGTGCCACCAGTTCTCCTTATAGTTAATAGGGAACCTAATTTGTATTCCAAACATCTGAAGCTCAGTCGTGAAAACTGACATGGTCCTGCAGCCTGAACAAATGCAATTCCTGATTCACTCTCCTTGTGAATAACAGGGCTTTGAAGGATGTCTCTAATCCACAGCTTGAGGCATTATTTTCATTTTATCTCCAACTAAAAAAGCATTAATCAGTATGAACATTTGATACCCAATTCTTTACTGAGTTTGACAATAACATTTATGATCCTTTGAAATGCTTATCTGCAAGATTCCTTAGGCAACTGGAAAAAAGTATTCTACTATACATACAAAAGAATAATCCTGGACAACCGCTGTGAGATTCCACAGCACAGGGGCAAGGCAGGTAAGTGATGGAAATGGGAGTGTTATATCGGTCACTGAGGCATAGAGTTTCATTACGCTCCATTAATCAGGAAAATTTCTATTAGGAAATGTTCAGTACATTGCAAATGTCAAAAAGGATGACTTGAAAATATTAAAAGATCTGAGCAACAGGGAGGCTACCAAGAGATACTAGACCTAGATACCCAGCCAGGAAACCTGAGATCAAATCCCAGCTCCACAGTTTAGTAGCCATAGAATTTGAGTCTTAGTTTTCTTATCTGTAAAATAAGTATAATACATGCTCTACCTGCCTCAAAGGTTCAGAGATGGGGAGAGGCTCAGAGAGGCGGTGGGAGTCAGGGATATCTATTTTGCACCTAAATTCATGAAAACAAAACAGAGTTTTTAACAATCATTTTTGATGAGTTGTTTCTAATTGCTGAATTGAGTTGTAGTGAAATGTCTTGATTTATTAGAATAAATGAAAAATCTTCTAAACTGATCACACAAACATCTCCACACCCTTACAAACAAGGCATAGAGTAAATACAACAGAAATTTAAAAGCTTTATACACCAATAGCAGCATCACAAATGACTATCGTGAGCTGGTGCTCACTTAACTAGCAACTCTAAGCATGGGCATCTAGGAAAATAGTTGTCCCTCTCATAGGTTTTTGACAACAAAATGGATGACAAGATAGGACATTCTCCAATCAGCAAACCTAAACTCTAAATGATGATGAACACCAATGTGATTGTCACGCTCAGCATCACCCTGGAGAGAATACATTTCCTCCCGAAGGCATTAGCCATGAGGGACAGGTGTTCAGGTCAGATGTATGGCAGCAATGAAATCTAAAAAAATAGGGCACTGGCTTCAGGACCCTTCAAGCCAAGGGTCCTGAACCAAAGTAAATTTCAGTTCTTAATGAGACTCTCTTACTTCCTGCATCACCACCTGGGAAAATGCACAGAGGGGTTATGAGGACAAGTTAGAACATGTCTAGAAACTGCTGAGCACAGAATTATAGTAATTACTATATTCGTGGACTTCTTTCCAGTTGACAATGCTTACGTGCATGTTACCTTATGTGAGTTTCATAAGAACCCTATACAATTAGTAACATCATTTTCCAGATTGTATAGTTGACAGGACATTGCTGTCAGTTGAGTCAGGTTAAGGGGCTGATCTCAGTCTTATACTTAATAAGGCTCACAAGGGCTTCTCACTTCCAAATTGTGCCGTTTATAACAAACTATACAAGCTTCAACCAAACGCAGCTTTACACTAGTTTAAACCTTATATACACACATATATATAAAAAGTTATCACATATGTAATATACAATATAATATGCATACCCATACACAAGGAGCAGTGTATCTTTAACAAAATTGAAGACAGACCACTATCCTTTCCTCTAAAATCTGTTCAATTATTTTTTATATGCTAAAGACATAATAAACATGTTTCATGAGAACGCTCCATCTTTAAAAGTGCTATTAAGGCTTGACATTGACTGTCAGAACTGCAATCTATATATTTATGTAGATATAATTACACACAAAGCTCTATAATTACTTGCATAACCATGATTGCATGCATAACAATTACATGCAGTTTAATTTTTTTTCCACACATACACACACAAAAGTAGCTATTTTTAAAAATTAGTTTATGTGGTTTATTTAGGATGACCACTTTTCCCACAAGAGATCACGAATTTGTCCTAGATTTCAGGAGTTATATACTGAATCATTCACGGATAAGCAATGAGCTCTTATCAGTATAAGGACGCTTAATCTTGATCTGAAATCCCACATATGGTAGCTTTCCTTAAATGCTAATAATGTTTCCTATTTTTAAGCATAACTGTATCTACCACCACTTCAAGCTTTCATGTTGAATCTGTGAAGTGCTGTTTGTTAAGCAGTCTGCAGCTACATTTAGGGCCACTGCAACTAATTTTCTCAGAAATCAGCAACTTCTCAGCTCCATCCATAAACCTGAAAGTTATTTCAGACTGCATTACAGTTAAGGAGAAGAGTGGGTATTGCATTTCATATTGCATTTGTTCTCAATGTCTTCATGTGACACAATTTTCCTCTTAAGTGTGGTGCATTACAGCAGCTGCCACACCAACATTCAAGTTAGGGCTTCTAGAGGCCTTTTTTAAAAAAATTTTTCCCATACAAAAATTTATACATAGTTATGTGACCCTAATTGCTCTCCCCATACTGTGACGGCACACTCCTCCTTTCCATCCTGATTCCCCATGTCCATTCAACCAGCTCCTAACCCTCTCTTCCTTCCAATCTCACCTCTGGACAGAAGCTACCCGTTTAGTCTCTTGAATCTACTTGAGCTAAGAGGCACACTCCTCACAAGTATCACTTTATGTCCCACAGTCCAGTCCAATCTCTGTCTGAAGAGTTGGCATCAGAAATTGTTTTAGTTCTGGGCTGATAAGAGAATCCAGGGACCATGCTTTCCGGGGTTCCTCCAGTCTCAGTCAGACCATTAAGTCTGGTCTTCTTACTAGAATTTGAGTGCTGCACCCCACCTTTCTCCTGCTCCATCAGGGACTCTCTGTTGTGTTCCCTGTCAGGGCAATCACTGGTGGTAGCCAGGCACCATCTAGTTCTTCTGGTCTCAGGCTGATGAAGTCTCTGGTCTATGTGGCCCTTTCTGTCTCTTGGGCTACTACTTTCCTTGGGTGTTTGGTGTTCTTCATTCTCCTTTACTCAAGGTGGTTGAGATCAATTGATGCATCTTAGATGGCCGCTTGCAAGCTTTTAAGACCCCAGACACCACTCACCAAAGTTGGATGCAGAACATTTTCTTAATAAGCTTTGTTATGCCAATTGACCTAGATGTCCCTTGAAAGCATGGTCCCCAGACCCTTACCCCTGCTACTCTGTCCCTCAAAGTGTTTTACTGTGTTCAGGAACCTTCTTAACTTTGGTTTAGTCCAGTTGTTCTGACTTTCCCTGTAGTGAGTGCTGTCCTTCCCTTCACCTAAGATAATTCTTATCTACTATCTAGTTAGTAAATAACCTTCCCCTGCCCTCCCCACCCTTGTAACCATCAAAGAATGTTTTATTCTGTGTTTAAACCTTTTCTTGAGTTCTTATAATAGTGGTCTTATACAATATTTGTTCTTCTGTGACTGACT